CACACACCCCACACACCCCCACACACACACACGCAAAGACACACACACACACACGCACTGGCAGACATGCACACGCACACATGCCGTTCACTTAGCTTGACCCGCTGCTCTCTCGAGCGAAGCTTTGTGGTTGCAAGAACACAGGGGGCTTGGGCTTTCTACGGAAGGGGTGCAAATGCCACAGGGTCCTATCGTCTGCTTGATTTCAGACCTTTGAGCCCGGGTGGATTTCACTTCGGGCCTGCTTCTTGGCCATGGTGGCTCTGGATACACGGAAAGTGAGAAGGAGGGGGATTTGTGTACTCGTGACTATGCTATCAGAGTGGGTTTCGAAAACAGCTCCACGATCTATTTTCCCCGCAGGACGACGTCCACCCGCTCGCTGGGTTCGGCTGCTCCAACGGAGGCCTCGGATGGCAATGCTTCATCGGCGGCCAGGACTTTCATCATGAATACGGCCCGCAGATCGTTGGATGAGGTTTTCCAAGGTCGCTTGTTTGGATTAGTGGTCATAATGGTGACTAGCACCTAGAGTATTTTGCTACTCCGGGCCTTCACGATGGCAGGACTTTGGAAGCTCACCCATCTCACGCCAAAGGTCTCAACTTACAGGGTCATTGCCTGGAGTTGTATTACAAACTTCTCAGCTTCAATGCTCGGGAGGATCACATGGCTTCGAACAAACCAACATCGTAGTGGATTTCCTCTCTCAGCCTCACACTGTGTTCAATCACCCCACCAGCTATTCGGCTCAGGTGCAGCAGAGGACAAGGCTGGCCATCCGAAGGATGGCAAGAAAGCTGGAAAGAAGGAAGTGAAGGATGGAAAGAAGAAGAAAAAGAAGGGGAAGAAAAGTTCTTCGGCTTCAGCGATAGTTCTTTCATCGTGCTTAGCGACTATCATAATTCCTGGCACCCTATCCATCCGAGGCTCTTCCTCGCCTTCGGATGACGACAGCAGCTCCGCCGAGAAGAGCGACCTGGAGCTGGGCGACTGTGCTTCGCTCTTTGGCTTGGGGAAGAGGGACCTAGCCCGACCGGCCGGTTCCGTTCGCCTGGACGATCTTAGCTGTCGCCAGCTTGGGTTCGCCGTTTCCAATGTGGTGGAGGCGGTGAGCCCATCGGATATATTTGAGCTTGGCGGTGAGCTCGCTGCTCGACTCAATTCATTATCTTGGTTTCTGCCACGTGTGATGTCATGCTGAGATTCGTCTTTCCTGGGCCCGGCTGAGCTTATGCCTAGGAAGGCCTGCTCAACGATCGTGCTGCCACTGCGAAACGCAACAAGCACATGACTGAGCACAACCTTGCTCTCTTCGAGGCCGGACATGGACGCGAGCACAGCACGTTTCAAGGTTTGCAGGCTGCCCCTGAACCGAAGCATATGTTTCAGCAAAGTAACCCTTATCCCGAAAGCTTCAAGTCATGTCCAGAATGTAAAGGGGCCCGTTGTCTGCAGAATTGGTGAGCTAACTCGCCATTGAGCTTCTCTCAGGCCAAGACAGCGGCGACGGTCTGGAAGAAACGAATGGCCACGCTTGTGCAAGCCCGTGCCTTGGATGAAGCACTACTTACGCAGAGGTTGGTTACTGTTAATTAGTTTGTTGCTCCAAGGGCCGGGTGGGTCTTCAGAGCCCTGTGTATGTTTGGGAGCTTGCCTGTCTGTCAGTTGGGAACATTCACTACTGAGTTCTGCTGACGAGGGCAGACAAACAAGCACGTCTTTGTGTGATGTTACATCTGGATATTATCCGTGAGCTTCTTCAGGAAAACTCCTGCCTGGCGCTAAACTATTATTTTAAAGACTATGGACCCCGTGCTTTCTGTCGGCTTTCATGATGCTACAGAATGCAGACACGCACGGAAGCAGGACTTAGAGACCAGCGATTGCTGTGGGGCGATCATGGAAACCTGTGTTTTGCTCTCTCTCTCTCTCTCT